TGGATTAAAAGCCAAGCCTAGACTCCCCCATTGCCAACTTCCACCAGGCACTCTTGCTTGAGATATTGAGACTTTTTCCCCTGCATTCTCTCCTCTTTTGCTGTCTGATTTGAGGTCAAATCCTCTCCTCATCCCAGTAAATGAAACCAAATAATTGCTAATAGGAATTGATCCAAAAGACCCAGGCCAACTTTGGAAAATACTAGCAGGGCTGCATTCAGCCCTGTTTTCTGAAGCCATAGTGATGTTGGGAATCAACTCTGAAGGAAATGGAGAGAAATATTTATCTTTTCTTTAAATGGCCAAAGTGAACACAGTCTTCAAAGTTAGGTGCCAAATCACGGGCCCTGGGTAGCCAGAGGTCCTGGCACACATCTGGCACATGGACAACTGTTTGAAGGAAATTCCTGCCAAAGGGAGTCAGGGTTGTGGTGGGGACACCTTAGGAGGCAGTGGGCTCTGAAGCTATAAGGATGGGGATGGTGAGCAAAGAGGAGTGCCAGGCATGGCTGTTCTAACTTTCAGGTATGGCCCAGGGCAATATTGTAGGTGGGAAGGGAAAGGGGATAAATATTGCTTGGCAGTCTTCCCTTTATCCTCTGCTCTTCTCCTCTACTTTTCTGGCCTCCAAGCATTCATCTGGTATTCCATTCTCAAAGGCCTCCCTGTTCGCTCAATACCAAAAGGAGGGTTGCTGGAAGAATATATTGGAGCTGCATACAGCCATCACACAGGAAGAGTTCGCCCATGGGAGTGTCAGCTCAGAGGAAAGCAGAACTGAAACACAGTGATGATGTCATTTGAGCCCTTGGATTCAGCCATGCCAGAAGCCCCTGCACTTTTAAATTAAGGGGACCAAAAATTTGCATTTTGCATGAGAAATTTTCAATTGGGTTTCTATCACTTAGAAGAAGAACATGAATAGAATTCTAACTGAAATAGGATTAGACTGTCTAGTATGATTTTCAAGTACAGATCATTCCTAGCAGCCAAGGTAGGATGCAGAGAACTTTACAACAGAGCCGTTTGACATGGAAAACCCAAAATCTGTAGACAGTGAAGAGAGAAAGAAAGCAGGCCAGTTCCTGCCTCCAGAGGCTTCCACTCTACGGAGTAGTTAAGATGCTCAGATCTGGGTCTTTTCTGCAATGTAGGGAGACTTGGAGGAAATCTAAGCCAGTTCCAGTCTGAGGATCCTGCAACCTACAGGTTTTCCTGAGGCTGTTTCAGGTAATGGTAGTTACCTTCTGCTGAGCCTGTGCTACATGGTAGACAACGCACTGTGTATTATTTCATTGAATTCTCATAGTAACCATAGAAATGGAGATGCTGGTACCATTTGCTAGATGAGGAACTGAAAGTTCACAGTGGCAAAGTAACTTACTAGTCACATAGCTAGTAAGCTAGTAAGCGGTAGAGCAGGGATTCAAACCTAGTGCATTAGACTCCAAATCTTGTGCTTTTAACAGCTATATTATATTTATTTTACTTCCTCCAAGATGGGTCAATGAGGAAAGGGAGGTTAGCTATATGGAGAATTAATAATAATCTTTTTCTGTCAATGTAGTCATAGTGAGTTTGCATTACAATCATATATGCAATCTCACTACATCCATTTTATGGATATGGAAACTGAGGCTCAGAGGTAGGAAATGACTTACTCCAAGTTATTTGGGAAAACTGGATAGACCACTCAGAGGTAACCCCCCTCAAATTCAGCAGCCAGTCTGTAGTCTGTGGATACTCACAGTGCATGTGCAGGGCAGGGAGGAGCTGGCTTCACCACACTGAACCATGCTAAAGGGGAGTGATGGTATCAGTCTGGCCAAGGAAGTTCTAGACAGGTGAGGGGACTGACAGGTATTGTGGCCACAGATCCAATTGCAGAACACAAATCCCACTATAGCAAAGAACTCCGAATTCACAAAAAGATTCCCCGTTCCAGCCAGGTGTCATTTATTTTTCAGCAACATTTGATATGGCCAAATTCCAGTTCAACCAGAGAGATTCAGCTTCCTGGTGTTCCCAGGGGGACTTACTTGTGAAAAGAGCCCCTTTCTTCTGTTGGGACACCCTCAGAAAACAAGGTTGAGCTGCCCGGGGAGTAGGGATTCCAGCTCCTCCCCTAGAGCTTATTCCTGCCTGGCTTCCTCCCTGAGCAAAGTAGCTGTCTCAGCCCAAGCTCCAGGGGCCCCCACAATTGGACCTGTCCTGATGCTTTGCCAAGCTCAGAGGCACCTGCCCCGGGGAGACAAGGCAAAGCTTTCACCGTTCCCTGAATGAACCGCACCGGGTGGAGTGACCAGGCAGGGATCCAGGTGATGGAACAGAAGGGGCCAGAGCAACCACTGTTGTTCACTGCCAGAAGGATGCCAGGGGGCTGGAAGGTGAGCAGCAATCCCACTTGTCTCCCAAAGACCCTGCCCTCTGTGTGTGGGGGGGAGGGGGGCTCGAAGGAGGAAAGGAGAGTGGGAAAGCAGGGAGGAATCCAGTCCTGGAGCTCCCATGAAGCCAGGGGAGCAGCCGTCTGGATTTGTTTTCCTACAAGTAATCTGTGCTCCCTGAAACTGGAGCAAGTATTGAAGGCAGAAGAGGTGGAAAGAAGCAGGTCCTTGTGGTCAACCCCAGCCCTTCCAGGTCTCCAGTACAGGTTCTGGTGCAGATCCCAGCTCTATCACTTGCTTTCCTTGGTACAATCTTAACTTTTGCCATCCTTATATTAGTATTTATTAAGAGCCCTCTACGTATTAGGGAGTCAATAGTAAGCTAGGGAGGCAATAATAAGCATAAAAAAAAAGAGAGCTTAGTCACCTTCTTGAAGTTTATATCAGTAGGGGAGATGAATATTAATCAAACAACCAAGTAATCCTCCTACACATACACACACATACATACGTACAAAAAGTGAAATGTCCAGGAGAGATATATAGTATATAATTAGAGAGAGATCACTCTATGGAAGGTCAGAGAGGGTTTCCTAAAAAAATGATAATAAACCGGGCTTGAGCCAGCTCCGTGGCTCAGCCTGTAATCCCGTGCCTTTGGGAGGCTGAGGTGAGTGGATTGCCTGAGCCCATGGGTTCGAGACCTGCCTGAGCAACTTGGCGAGACCTCATCTCCACAATAAATAAAAAATCAGCTGGGCGTGGTAGCGCGCACTTGTAATGCAGGCTACTCGGAAGGCTGAGGTGGAAGGATCGCCGGAGCCCAGCGGGTTGAGCCTGCGGTGGCCAGAAGTGGCCACTGCACTCCAGTCTGGGCAACGGAGTGAAACTCCAACTCAAAAAAAAAAAAAGGACGGGCTTGGTGGCTCTGCCTGTAATCCCGCACCTTGGGAGGCTGAGGTGAGTGAATTGCCTGAGCCCGCGGGTTCGAGACCCGCCTGGGCAACTTGGTGAGACCTCATCTCTACAATTAAAAAAAAAAAAAAAATAGCCAGGTGTGGTAGCGCACTCCTGTAGTCCAGTTACTTGAAAGGCTGAGGCGGAAGGATCGCCAGAGCCCAGCAGGTTGAGGCTGCGGTGGCCGGGAGCGGCCACTGCACTCCAGTCTGGGCGACAGAGTGAGACTCCAACTCAAAAATAAAAATAAAAAATGATAATAGAACTGAGGTCTGAGCTCATGAAGAGAGTAAAAGGGGCCACTGCATACAGAGGGAACAGGATATTCAAAGGCAGCCCATTTGATAAGAGGGAACGGGAAGGAATTGGAAGAAGTCTCCTGAGGCTGAAGTACAGAGTGGAGAGCCAGGGTCCAGGCAGACTGTGCAAAAATGTGGTTCTTTCTCTTAAGAGCAATAGGAAGCCTTTGAGGTGCTCTAAGCAGGGAAGTAAGATGATCACACTTGTAGTTTGAGATTACTCTGGCAACATAGTGACAACGGATCAGAAGAGAATGAGGGAGAATTCAGGAGGCCAGTTAGGAGGTATCAGACATTTGCCTATAAAGTGGGGATGATGATAACACTATCTCATAAGCTGCTGCCAGGATTCAACGAGATGCTGCGCTTTAATGTTCATTCCAGTACCTGGCACGTAGTAAAGGCTCAATATCTGTCGACATTGCTACTTTTATTGTTGTTTCTCTTCAGAGTGGATACTTCTGATTCACGCCTACTCTCCTATGTGAAGGAGGTGGAAAGGGTAGCTGTGGTCCCCCAGGTGGAAACGTGTTTTGTATCCAATCAGTACGTCGACACCAGAACCCAGGATGCCCGAAGGCCCTGTTAGATAACGCTTGAAAGTATGAATGATTCCGGAAGAAAAACGGGTTCCAATTATTCCGGCAAGGAAGCTGGAGAGACGGGTGAAAGACTATCGACGGTAAGCCCTAGGGTTTCTTGAGAAAAGCAAGTGCTCATCTGTTCCGAAGAGCAGGTGGAGAGCTCACTGTCGCGCGCATTCCCGTGGAGATGGGGACCCCCGCCACTCCCCACCCCGGTGCCGACCCACAGGCTCCAGACCAGACCCGCTTCCCCAGGGTGCCAGGAGGAGGAGGGTCCCGGAAGGCCGCCTCCAGCCCGCCTGCACCGGCTGCCCCCTCCCCAGTCACGTGGCCCGGTGGGTGGGGACCGACCTGAAGTTGGAGAAATCCTGAGCTCTCCCAACTTCAGAGTGCGTGGCCACCCGTGCCCGGCGGTGGGCGCTGAGCCTCCGGGAGGGGCGTGGAGGTGCGAATCGGAGAAGCCAGCAGCGGCGCGGGCTGCGGGACTCGAGGCATGGCCCAGCTGTCATTGATCCCCGGGTCGGCCACGGCATGGACAGGTGAGCAGGTCCCGGGGGGGCAGCGGCTGGGGTGGCAGAGGCTGCTCGGGCATTGGGCCCCAACAGCCTACGCCCGTCCAGGGGATGCGGGGCACCCACCTAGGAAGGGAGCGGCTGGGTGGAGCAGAGCGGCCGCGGGGGACTCTTGGTCTTCCAGGTCAGTCTCGCCGCCGCTTCCCCCTCCTCGCTCGCTTGTCCCCGAGCCTGGTGGCGCGACTAAAGGCAGGGGCTGCGGGACGCGGTGGAACCGCGCGCCGGGCGGGGGCGCTATTCCGGCTCCGCCCCCTGCGCGCGCACTGGCTGCTCCCCGTGACGTCACGCTCGGCTATAAAAGGCGCGGCGCGCGGCCCTTGCGGCTGTGGAGGAGCTCGAGGCTGAGGGAGCCCGCGGTGGCTGCAGCGATGTTTTACTCAGGGCTCCTCACGGAGGGCGGCCGCAAGGAGGGCGACATGCGGGAGGCTGCTTCGCTGCGACAGCAGCGCCGGATGAAGCAAGCCGTGCAGTTCATCCACAAGGACTCCGCCGACCTGCTGCCCCTGGACGGCCTCAAGAAGCTGGGCTCGTCCAAGGACACGGTGAGCGCCCGCGGCCGCGCCCGCCTCGGCCCTCCCGGACCCGTCCCCTTCGTGCCGGGCGGTCTCCCGGCCCCGGCCGTTGTCGCTTTCACTGAGTCACCGGCCCCGGCCCGCTGTCCGCGGTGTCGCTCCCCCGCGATTCCTCCCTATCCGGCACCCCCCTGCTTCGGGTTCGCTCGGGGTTCCGTCGTAACCTCCCCAGCTCGCGCTCCCTTGGCTGTGCCTCCTCCCTCCGCGTCTCTCTCCTCTCCAGAAGGAAGGGACCCTGCGCTGCCCACTTGCCTCCGAGTCCTCTTTCTTTCCTTGACATCGAATTTGGTCCACGGGGCTTGAGCCTCGTAGCACAGGCTGTGTGGCTGCTCTTGTGACCCAGACAAAGGTGACTCCTCGTGGGCGTGTGGGTAGGAGAGAGAGAGGTGGACGGGGTGTTTTAATTTTTATTTTTGACAGCCACCATATCCAGATGACTTTTGTTGCCTCCATTATCCCCCTCTGCAAAATCTACTCCTCTTTGGTTTTGTCTTACTCACCTTTGACCTTCCGTCCTGAGTGGGGAGAGAGAAAAGGGGTCGAATGTGAAGGTTTCCCGAACCCCATGCATCTCATCCTTCTCATCTCTCCTCTTCCATCCCAACCCCAAGGACGGGGTGGAGGGAGGAAGCCAGGCTGCGCGATCTCCCTGACAGACTGTGTGGGAGCTGGGCTTGGTGCAGTGTTTTTTTCTAGCACGGTGGTTCTTGGCATTGAGGAGGAGAAGCCCAGGACTGGGGGCCTGGGTTCAAAGACCATAGTGCCCTCTGTCTACAGGATGGGGAGCTGGCTAAGGGTTACCAGTATAAAGAACGGTATCTGACTGTCATTCTTCAGTTGCTGTAGTCAGATTTATGTTTAGCTTTGTAGTTTTATCTGGAGTAGCTGGATTGCTTTTTTGGATTGCACAATCACTTTGTCCCTTTAGACAATAATTTATGAAATGTTAAATATATTTTACGAGTGAAATAGATGCTCTGCATAATTTTTCTAGCATTTTTAAATTTTGAGCTTTTGAAATGTTTAATTCTGGATGTGATTGTCGGCCCTAGTTCACTGAAATTGCCATTTCTGGCCCCAGCATGGCAGTGGAGGACAGAGTTTTTGCATCCACTTCCTTTTTTTTCTTTTTCTTTTTTCTTTTTAATTTAACAGCTCTAATGACACATAGATGTCAATATCAGATTTCTCTCTCCTCCCATTAGTTACTTATGTGCAGGGAATGTCTACTCCAGTTATCTTGCTCTGTTTTTTAAGTTTTTTTTTTCTTCACAAGCCACAGGATAGTTGATCTAATTCATGCTAACCCAGAGTGATGACTGACTAAAATGTTTTCCTACAAAAGCAATAACTCTCTCTTCCCTTTTCTTGCTTTAACACAGTCTAGATTCATTTAGCAAATCAGGTCCAAGTCTTCTTTTCTTCAGGCCAAAATTATCCTAGTTCCTGGAATGCTTGGGAATCAATAAGTAAGGAAGTATTAGGAGAATAATTAAAATATGGACTTTTTTCTGGGTTATGTTGTTCTGGGTCATCGAGGAGCTTCCTAGCCCTGAAGAACTACCTCTGCATCCCTCTGCCTAGGGGTCCTTATACCACTACATGCTACATTAGAATCCCATCTGCTTTTCTAACTCCCATCTGCCTCACTTGAGCTACGAAGAGCTGATAGCATGGAGCACAGGCTGTAGGCTGCAAAGAGGAAGGATCCTCAAGAAGCAGGATATTTCCATGGGTGTGACACACAGCAGTTGACTGTGAAGCTCTGAATCATGGTTCACATTTTCTGTACCCCATTGTCATGGAGTTGATTTCCCTCTCACTGTTCTCACACATTTAATGCACAAGTGATTGTACAGAAGAGCCAGAAGAGATCACAGAAACCAAGGCAAACTGAGGTAGGACTAGGAGAACTGTAAGCGCTGGGGCGAGGCAGCATGCTTAGACTCCCTTGGGTTGTGGCAGCCTCAATATAATCTTAGGGATGACTTTAGAAGCGCATTCTTATCACTTTATTTTATAAATACATCTGGGATAAACCAATGTTGACTCTCTTTTCTCTCACTGCAAGTGAAATTTGGAGGATGCTAAAATTAATTAATACCTCACTTGAAGTAGTTTATAGTGTAATCCCAATATGAGGTACAACCTGACAGATCCTATGGGAAAAAAAATAGAAGGAAATCAAGAAAAGGGAGGGGATGGCACCAGAGGGAAAGAGGAAAAATTAGTTGTAATTGGCCCTATGACTTGTGAAGAGTGGGTTTTTTCCTCATACTAATAACCTATATTTGAATTATACTGCTGGGTTTTCTGAATTATCTAACTCTTACCATGCTGTTTCTTTAATGTTTACTGTTTGATACTAGTCTGCTAGCCCTTTTTCAGTTGGAAGAGGGCACCCGTAGGCAATCAAGGGGGTCATATTCTATTGGCCCTAGGAAAATGCCTTTGCCCTATTTCTGTGTGTATGGAGTTGGCTGCTACAAAGTCTACAGTGGAAATTAATTATAGTTTTTTTGTTTGTTTGTTTGTTTTGGGGGTTTTTTTTGTTTTTTGAGTTGGAGTCTCACTCTGTTGCTCAGACTGGAGTGCAGTGACTGCTCCTGGCCACTGCAGCCTCAACCTGCTGGGGCTCCGGTGATTCTTCCGCCTCAGCCTTCCAAGTAGCTGGAATTACAGGCGCACGCTACCGCACCCGGCTAATTTTTTGATTGATTGTAGAGATGAGGTCTCGCCAAGTTCCCCAGGCAGGTCTCGAACCTGCAGGCTCAGCCAATCCACTCACCTCAGTCTCCCAAGGCGCGGGATTACAGGCTGAACCTCCGAGTCCGGCAATTACAGTTTTTATGTATGACTCTTTTGTTTTCATCCTTTCATCTTGCATTGCTTATTCTGTATTTGATTGAGAACTAAAACCAGAAATGAGTAATATTATATTTATTTATTTTATTTTTTTGAGTTGGAGTCTTACTCTGTTACCCAGGCTAGAGTGTAGTGGAACACCACAGCCACTGCTGCCTTGACCTGCTGGGCTCAGGCGATCCTTCCACCTCAGCCTTCCAAGTAGCTGGAACTACAGGCATGCACCACCATGCCTGGTTAATTTTTTTTTTTAATTGTAGAGATGAGGTATCACCAAGTTGCCCAGACTGGTCTTGAACCCATGGGCTCAGGCACTCCTCTCACCTCGGCCTCCCAAAGTGCTGGTATTATAAGTGTGAGCCACTGTGCCTGACCTTAATTTTTTTTTAACTTGAGGAAGCTGGAAAAAAATCTTTATTCTTGGAATTTTGCCTATTGTGATTTCTCTTATTTTAGCTACTAGGTTCATAAAAGTTCTTCTTATTATGCTAAGTACTTTTTAATTTTTTTAAACAGTGTTATGTGATAATATGCTATCTTTCCTATATGATATTATTACTGACCCGTATTACTGACCAATAGAGAGAAATATTCTTACTGAGTAGCAGAGATAAAGTTTTTTTTTCCCACCTGTGATTGATTCTGCTTATAGCCAAATGCTATAGAGTTAGGAATGAAGAATGGGGAAAGGATAGTAGAGCACAGTGAAGCAAACTTACCATAAAATACCTGATCAGAGAGTAGCCCTGGGTGGTGTGCTATAGATTAGCCATTTATAATGAGACAAGTCTTGGACTAGAGAATCTTAAAGCCTTAGAAGAGAAGCATGACATGCCAGTATAACACCAGGATCTGGCACAAACTGAAGATTTGCAGAGCTTGTGATTACATCCTACTTATAACAAACATCTGAACATTTGCTGTGTTCAGGACACAGTCTAGGGGCCAGAATCACAAGAATGAAGATAGAAAAGCTTCTCTCTATAAGGAGTTTATAGGTTGGAGAGAAGGACAGGAGAGATCAGTTAGCATTTATTTATTTATTTGTTTGTTTGTTTGGAGTTGCAGTCTCACTCTGTTGCCCAGACTAGAGTACAGTGGCGCGCTCATGGCCATCCCAGCGTCGACCTCTGGGCTCAGGCAATCCTTCTGCCTCAACCTTCCAAGTAGCCAGAACTACAGGCATGTACTACCACCCCCAGCTAATTTTTTAATTTGTTGTAGAGCTGAGGTCTCGCAAAGTTGCCCAAGCTGTTCTCGAACCTGTAGGCTCAGGCAGTCTCCTCACTTTGGCCTCCCAAAGTGCTGGAATTACAGCCTTGAGCCACCGCACCCGGCCTCAGTTAGCTTATTATGCAGATATTTATTGGGCACTTACTACATGCCAGGCAATAATCTAGGCATTGGAGATATAATAGTAAACCAAAACAGAGTTCCTGCTTTCATGGAACTTGTGTTCTTGTGAGATGAGGAAGCATAAGATAAAATTAAGTAGATATATAATATATTAGGTAATAATAAATAATCATTTATTTTCTGTGGAGAAAATAATCCAGGGTAAGGAATAAGGTGGGCAGTGGCCAGGGTACGGTAGGATGGAGCCTTGTTATTTTACACAGGGTGGCCTTAGAAGGTCTCTTTGATAAGATTACATTTGAGGAGATACTGAAGGAAATGAGGGAGCAGAGTATCTCAAGGAAGAGTGTTCTAAGCAAAAGGAACAGCAAGTGCAAAGGCCGGAGGTGTCAGTGTGCTTGATATGATGGAAGAACTGTAAGAGGGCCAGTGTAGCCAGAGCAAAATGAGCCAGGGGACGAGTGATAGGAGATAACATCAGAGATGCAGTGGGAGGTCGCTGTGCCTTTGGCTTTTAATCTAAGTTGGAAAACCAGTAGAAAATTTTGAACAGGGAGTGACATGACTTATTTTATAAAAAGGTTGTTTAGGCTACTGTGTGGATTATACTGTAGAGGAACAAGAGTAGAAGCAGGAAGACTGACTAGGAGGCTATCATTCAGTAATCCAGGTAAGAAATGATGGTGCCTCAGAACAGCATGATGGCTGTGACAGAGACAAGAAAAGATCAGCTTCTGGATATTTGTTGA